CCCCCCCCCCCCCCCAGATTTGAATACCATCTTAACTATTTGCTTTTTTTAAACACTTTCATTGAAGGAATATGCTAACGTAGGAGTAGCTAAGTGGTAAAAACCACAGGCAGCTGAGTTTTTCTAGACAAGCAAGGGTAAGAAAGATGCGAGTTGCTGGGATTTATTTCTCCTTTCAAGACAATTACTTGGCTAGGCATCAAAGCCCCAGTCCTTGTTGTCTGATATAGACAACTGTGCAAGAATGACTGTCATAGTTGTGTCACCCTCTATCACAGACCATGTTACTCTCCAGTGATAAGAGAGACAACTTGAGAAATGTGACGCGTGTTTGAAATTGCTTTCAGGCAGGATAAAGGTCTGTGCTGAATTAGCTTGAGAAATGTCTGACTTTCAACATTCCCATGCTTCTTAATCAAGGATCCCTCACAAAATTTCCAAGAATTATATGTCAATACCAATTCATAAGGAGCAAATGGTTTAATGACTCTTTTGGTCAGATAAATTCTGCCTCTATTGACTTCATTTCTGTCTATAACTAGCTCGACAGCATGAGGAACAGGTATTAGCACCTCTTCTCCAACAGCTCAGCCCCAGAGTAATGCTACCTGTATGGTTTTCTGGCCGAGGTTCTCGCCAGAAGGAAATCACTACTGGCTGGGTCAGACGACCATGCAGCTACCGCTAGGGCTTTCACTTGGAAACTGGGATACCCTAATGGGAAACAAAACCTTTCTGTGCAGCCCACAGCTTCTAAAGAAAGAAATCTTCTAATAAAGAAAACATGTAAATGCTGCATATGCCATAATGAATCACTTTGTGAACTGAGGAACAAAGCCAGGTAAGTTCTGAGAGGCTCATGAGCTTGAGATTAGTTTTACCTCTGTAATGTCTTTCTATATTCAGGGTATCAATAAGTATGGTGATTTGGTATCTGCAAGACCATCAGGATCAAGGCACAGGAATTTCCAGGGACATGTTCAAGGGCGAATTCATTAAGATTTTGAGGAAATTATCTTACACTCAGTTTCCCAGATTATTTGAGCAAATACAATACAATTATTTCACACTGAAAATAAATCCTCTCCAGTAATTCTGTATTATTTATCTAAAGTGTATGATATAAAACTATCAGCCTTTAAATGATTTATTATTACATTTTATTACACCAATTCATCTGCCACAGTGCCAAGATCCAATTGCTGACTTTGCTCTTCTTGCACTTTCAGGTGTCTTGTGGCATGACTGTATTGAATTTTGTGGCATAAAGCCATGTTCATTCTACCTCAGCATATGGATCCTGCTGTAGCTTATGGCTTCAGAAAACGTATTTGTACATAGCAAATTCATTCTATTAACAATTTAGGATCTTGGACAATTTAAGAAAACATTGTTCCTCTTTATCCTGGAAATTGGATTTATTAATTTGAATGCTTATTTTTCTTGTATACAATTTATTAATTGGAAAATTAATAAATAAAATTTATTTTAAAACATGGGTAGAAGATTTTCACATTTAACATAAAGGAGGACAAATTTTCAGGTGGAGTCTATAGTACAAGAATGAACAGAAACTTATCACAAGGTTGAAAAGTAAGCAGTGTGTTTAAAAATCCATTTCCAGAGGGAAAGCAATTACTAAATTAATCTGCACTATTTACTAGCACCTACTAGATCATCATTTTACCATTTTAATATGAGTAACAACTGCAAGTTATTATAAAGATGAATAAATGATGAGTTGACAATTTTGCATAACATTCTTTGTAAAGTGAGTTTCATTCTGGTGAGTTATCTGTAAACTTACCTTGATCTTTTATTTTTTTACTCTTTATAAAATTTAATGTTTTAATGAATGCATTTCATACTATTTGTCTATTTTTGTCAGGATTTGTATTGTACATTAAGACATTTAAGATTCATTTTACCCTTCCAATACTTTTTTAGAAGGCCAAAACTCAGACAACCAAGTCCAGTGCTTTTACTGACAGATACAGTTCTCTACTTGCCTTGACTAGGAACAGCATTTTTCTGGCACATAGCTATAAAGCAAACCATTGTGAATAACTGGAAATCCTGGCAGGATCTAATTTGGAGAAATACGACATAAAGACAAGCAAGAAGACATCTGTAATTTCTTGGTAATCTCGTAATAACCAAGTTATATCACTTGTAACAATTTCATAGCTAGTCTTTAAGGTCACTGAAGGTGAAAAGCTATGAAAGCCTAACTAGATATGTGAAAGAGAACTTCCAGTTTTATCTTGGCTGTAATTGCTTGCTGTCTCTCAAAAGAGAAATGTCTACATAATTCAGAGAGCTCTCTCAAGTACATGGAATTTCAAGAGCCTGCAGGGAAAGCGAGTACAGCCTGCTCTGTCACTTCTGGGTTTACAACACACAGAAGTGCTCACTAACAGTGAGGGCAGTTTTATGCTTCTAATCCCAAATGAATATGGAGTAAACTCCCAGGAGCCCAAGGCAGCTTTAAAATCTTGTTGTTAAAAAGGAACAAAATCTACCATTCCTGCCAATGTAAGAGAGCTTTCCACAGGATCTTCTCTGAGAAATTTACTGCCCACCTGAGAAATTCACTACTCAACATATGCATCAATGCCAGACACTGCCACAAGCTTCTTCAAAAATTTCCAGGATCCACATAATGGAAAGCTGTTTGAAAGAGTAGTGAAACAAATTCTTACAAACACCGTAAGTTCTTCCTACTCTAAAACTTAAAATCTTTCCTGAAGAACCCCAGTTTTCTGCCCAGGAATCACTTACAAAACACAATAAATAATGCAAATAGCTGGGGGGGGGAAGCAAACACAAAAAAAACCCAGAAAAAAATGATGGAAACAAATATTAAGGAAAAAGCTCTTCCAGAAACATTATTAAATAGTCTTAATCCCTCAGTATCTCACACATTTTAGGAAAAAAGTTTTTTCTTCTCAAGGAATTCAAACGGAAGGACAAATGGTGCTACCATGTACAGTTCAAATTACAGAGAATATTCTTATTCTCTTATTCTTATTTTCATGTATTATAAAACATATAACATATTTTGGATTGGTGGTTATGCTTTTCATATTCTTACACCAAAAGGAACCTTTTTCATCCATGAAGTCTGCTGCTGCTGCTTCTCCCTTACATTTAGAACTCCACACTTGTGATCTTCTCCATAATGTACTAAAAGAAATGCAACTCTACACCGAAACTTCTGACATAAACATCTCCTTTTCTAAAAGAAAGAGAGTTTCTCCAGTTAATTCAGTTTCCCTCTGAATCTTTGTAAGAATCATGGAAAGTGGGCCAGGTAGCACCCCAGATCTCACTGCTCCTCCCCCGTTTACATAATTTCTGAATTCAAACCCTGTTTGAATGTGCTCATCAGTGTAGTTTTTATAAGGAGAGATGGCATTATCCAGGAGTTTTTCCAGTTAATTCAGTTTCCCTCTGAATCTTTGTAAGAATCATGGAAAGTGGGCCAGGTAGCACCCCAGATCTCACTGCTCCTCCCCCGTTTACATAATTTCTGAATTCAAACCCTGTTTGAATGTGCTCATCAGTGTAGTTTTTATAAGGAGAGATGGCATTATCCAGACTTTGACTCACCACTGAGGTTTTGGTTTATCGAGCCCAGATTTTTGTCAGAGTATATAAAGACCTGTAGTGGATAAGTCAGAATTTATCGAGGCAGAACCCCATCTCTCACACTGGCCAGAAGCAGGTGAAGAGATAAAAGCTTCAGAATGGGGGAAGCACAAGTGATACACTTGCTTACACGGGGACTCAGACAGAGATGGTTTCTATGCATTTAATCTGTGGTTTTGAGAGCAGAATTGAATACAAGAAAAATTCTATGAGCATATGGAAAGAAATCTGAGAAATGTCTAAGAGATTTGGAAATACAAGCCTACTGACATGTATTCCTAATGCTTGTAGCCTTTGAAAATCTTATCCTGAACAGAGTAGAAAAATAGCAATTGATAGTACTAATTAACATGAGTTCATTTTGAACACAGGAATCACCTGCTCTGTTCTGCCACTCTAAAACCAACTCTGCCGCTTTATACAGCTGTCCTCTGCACTACTACTGCAAAATCTCTTTTTGTTCATGCAACTGCAAATCAAACTCAGTCATTCCTGAATCTAGAATGCCACTGGACTTCATCAAATGAGTTCTTCTGAGCATCCTGATTTTGCACAGAGATTCTACCAAAATTTTGAATGGCAAAACAGCTGTTGCTGTTTACCAGCTGCTAATGCATTACTCCCAGGCCATCTCACAGTCCTGTTACCACGCTCTGGCTACCTCTACTGTGTAGCAGCTTCTCTGTCTGCTGACTTTGCGCTACATGCTGTTACAAACATGCCTGTTTCCATCCACCTCTGAAGGTATGTTTTCCATAAGTTAAGCATGTAACCTCTTTACTTCGATCTTCATCCTGGCTTAATCTAAACCCCAGTGGACTCAAATAGACAATCTTTAGGAGATACTAATAGACTGCATCGTCCCCTTCAGCTGTGTAATGACTTAAAAATTGATTTCTTAAAATTGGAACCATCATATTTGCTACCAATAGAAACTGGAACAACTGAAAAACTAAAGAGCTACTTTGCTGCCAAGGATCTGCGTAACTGAAGTCGTGAGGAACGAGATTCTTAACAACTTCATAGGCCAACTCCTGCGATGATGGGCCACTCAGCCCAAGGCTTGAGCACAAAGCATGGCTGCAATTCAGAAGGCTGTTTTTATCATGGTACAGAAGTTGGCAAGCTTTATCACAAAGAATAAACATCTTTATCTAAAGGGTGAAAGTTAGCTTTGCAACACAACTTGAAAATATAGGTCAAAACTGATTTCAAAATACAAAGAGGTTTCAAAGGAAACATAAAAAATAGTAAATCTCTACTATATATAGTAAAAATCAATTTATTATTTTATGTGTTTCTTTTCATTCTCCTCTTAGGAGAAAACTGGCATGTAGTATTTTGGTACTATCTATTATCACTTTTAAACATTTCTCAATTTTAGCAGAAAGATCTCCACCTTCTCCAAATACACCATAGACGAAACCTTTCTATGGCTTCAGTCCTTTTCAAAACCCCAATGTCAGGGGATAAAGAAAGAAACAGGATATCCAAGTAAAATATACAAAAATAGGAAGAAGTTTGTTTATGAAATGGCAACCAGAGTCCTGACATATACAATATTCTCATTGTTTTTTCCTTTGCCATAAGTTTCTGAGCCGTCTGTTTTGCTTTTCTGGTTGATTTATTCATCAGCTTTTTCTATCACTATGGCAAAGGCAAATATCCTTTGGAAGGAAGACCATCTTCCCTCCTCCACACTTCCTCCGGGACAGAGAAGAAAGAACATCGATTTATTGTCCTGACAGAGTTGGCCACCTGGACTGAGAGACCCATCATTCTCAGGCCAGAAGTGCAAAACTATCACATACTCTGGCAAAATCTGCCTGAGGAACAGATCATCTGCCACATCAGCAGCATTTACTGTTGGTCCACTGTCTAACTTAAAGTGATAGTCAACAGTGGGTGCTTCAGCGGAAGATGAAGACTGCACATAACAGGCCAAGTTCATCATGCAGGGCTTTAAATAATTTCCTTCTTTGCACAGAATATTATGTCCCCTTACTTGAGGTATGACTTCCTTCTTTAGCCGGCTGACTTTACTGCAAATATTATTCATCCAACAGTGAAAAAACACCTTTTTTTTTTTCCAAATGCAGAATGAAAAATATATACAAATAGTTGTAATTACTGGAGCGTTCAAATTTGTACAAAATTCCAGCATTTTATATTTGAAAACAGCAAGAAACTTCCTGAAAGTTTCCCAACAAAAAAAAAGGTATCATATAATCAGACAGCATCATTATCTGAAATCAAAACCTACTTAATTCAAGGAAATGTGAAACATTTGACTGGAAATGAGAGGACTTCTCACTTATCAAAGCACAGCGCTTACTATTCTTCAGATAAGAAAAGTAATCTTCTGCAGTTCATCTACAATGTGACATCTGTAACATTGGAATTGTGTGTATTTAGGCTCTGAGCTTAATATTTGACCTTTAATCAAAATAATTTATAGAAATATAGAAGAAAAAATATTAAAAAAAAAAAAAAAAAAGTTCATGATGGTCTAGAAGTTAAAATCATTGCCATGCAAAAACTTATTTTTTTAATTTTTTATACATTCGACCTAGCTGTAGGACTTAGACCAGTTTTACTGAACTTCAATAACTGTGTAATTTGATGTATGAATACCTACAGATACCCTATTTTTAAGTGTTTATGTCTTTAAGTGTTTTAAGTGTTTTAAGTGTCTTCAGCGTAATCCCATCCTGTTACATCCCTTTGAAAGGATATTCTTTCCCAGTTACAGTTTAAAATTCTGTACAACACAAATCTTTATGGCCTATACTAATACTAGAAAAATGTTCTGTGTTATGTGAAACGTATGCAGATACATCAATACAATTTGTTATTAATGTCTAAGTGGCATATATACTAAATAATTATATGCAAAAGAGAAAATACACACCTGTTTCTCCATATTCTAAAAGAAATTGTAAGTTTTATGTAGTGATTTATGTATATACTGCAGATTACTACTGAAAGTGCCTCCTATCTTTTTGTAAAGCTACATAAAATACAAATAATTTTTTCCCAGTGCCACAAGGAGAGCTGTATTTGTGTCTATTTTTTCAGTATTAAGAAACTTTGTACCAAAAAGAGAAACTCAACTAATTTCAACACTGAACTTATTAGACCCATTCTCTGTAAGACAAGGAATTTATAGTTCAGATTTGTTTAAATTTAAGTTAATTTATAAACATTTTTCTCACTTTGCAGGTGAATGCCATTATCACCAAGTCGTTTGCATGTGTACAAGTGGAGACCATGGACTACTGTTTTTGATGGAAATCACTATTTGACTTTGTCTAACGAGCTCACAGGAAATGTGTGCTGCTATTCAAGCTGTCATAGAAAATACTCACAGTGAATGAACCACACAGGAAAGTCAAAGACCTAACTGTAGTATTAAAGGGAGAGAAAAAAATACAGCATTCCAAGTTCTATTGGAATCCTTCTAGACAACTCAAATGTTGAACCAACGTATCTACATGCTGAACTATATCAAACTTCAGAAGTATCATATTCTCTACAGAGCACATGAACTCCTTATGCAGGCAAATAGGTAATTCAATCTTAATTTTAGTTTTCTTTTAAACATGGTTGAAAAATATTTTCCATTACAGAAAATAATAATTTTCCCATAATTGCTTTCAATATCCTGACTTTCCTTTTTTTCCTCCTTTTTTCCTCTGTGTGGTACGTTCTACTCCTTATCATACTATTATAAATTTTTTGATTTGACATCCTAGTAATGTTTTTATAAATGTCAACGACATTGTTATGTAGTAAAGCATCAGTTATTAATATTACTATTGTTGTTAAGATTAATAATAATGATAGTACTCATATAGAAAAAAATTATGGCAATTGAGAGACACTAATATTTTTTTATTTGCTTCACTACAGAGAAATAAGTGACCAGAGTGATTAGGCCATAAAACATTCATGAGATTTTCTTCATGTGGGCCCTATAAATCTTGCCAATAATGAGGCATTGCAAGTTCTTAATTTGAAATAACTTCAGAAAGTTATTGGCAAGGATTAGCTCTAGCCATTGGATTTTGATTCTTTTAGACCAATTCAAAGAGAACGGAGCCTCTTCTTCCTTTGGAAGGACTTCAAAATTATGAATGACTGCCAAGACAAGCAGTCTTTGCTAGGAAAAGTAATGTTAAAACAATGCAATAGGTCACTGGAAGTTTTCCTCTGAATTTTTTTATACATGACCTTTTGGGGAGCAGAGGGAGGTAGGGTCTTTCATTTGAAATAATAAAGCCCAACTAAACAAGATTTAAAATATCTTTTAAAATGAAAAATATTCTTAGGACAGTTGGAAACTTAACTACTGTTACGTAGCGCTGGGCTGCTACAGTCTGTTTCCTTAATTCACAATGTTACTCTAAACAACCCTGCTGCCTGTCCTGAATTGAAGAAAAATCTTCCAGGACTAACAGGGCTGGAGCCACGGTAGCGAAGAATGGCTTCTTCTTCAGTCATTGAGGGCAATATTTGGGGCAGTGCTAAGTACATGCACTGTGGCTTGTGCCATTCCCCTGCATGAGCTCCAGACAATTCAGGATGAGCTGTTCCATATGAAATACAAGCAGAAAAGATGGTTTTGGTAAAATATATAGCACATGGTAACAGGCAGAAAACATTTTAATAAAACATATGGTAACATTTACCTACATTTCAAGACCATATAGCTTCCAGTATATGTCATGCTATGCCATGGCATATATGGAATGGAGCAGCTTCTAAAAATTTTTTATTCAGGAGGGAACACTGTTACATCCAGCGGCAAGACAACCTGCTGTAATGCTACTGGTGCAATTAGGTTGTTTTTGCACTACTGGTTGTTACTGGGCATGGAGCTCACACACAGCCAGTTCCCAGATGCAGAATAATTTTAATCTTGGTTTTCCGTACAACTTTTAGGACTAAGCGTTTTTTAATTCCTTAAGTCATTCTTGCTTTGTACTGGCTGTACAGAGAATCAACTCCATGACGGGAGTATGACAAAATTCCTCCCTCTGCTATGTGTACATGTTTTTCCCAAATATTTTGCTAGAGGTAATTTCCAAGCTTTTGTTTCTTTTTGGTGTCCATTTGAAAGTTAGTAAGAAGCAACTAGTTGATAACATCAGCAGAAGCTTAGAAATATTGAGGAAGCAAAGAGAAGAAAAATAAAAAACCCCAGATGCCCGTGTAGGGGTTACAGGAACATAGGCATTTCACACAACTATGTTAAAGAACAGTAGGTGCTTTTGGAGTCCCCACCCTAAAACAGTTTCCTGTTTTTTGTAAAACTTCAGATGCTAAATACTAAAAGATCCACCTCAGTGTAGTTCTTCTCATCACAGTCCCTATGCCCTGTTTGTAAATCTCAATACACACACACACCAAAAAAAAAAAAAAGAATAAAAAAGAAAATTGAACCATTGAACTGAGCTACTTTCCTAGTTTTTGATGAGTTTGTTCATTCAGCTATAGGGTTAGCTTTAGACTTTAAAAACGCTCATTAAAACCATAAAGATACATTTACGGAAACACAGCTTCACAGGATAAAAGCAATTAGTCATGGATCAAATACTGTTAATAAAATGGAAGTGCTTTGTACTTCCAAACTTGTTCTAGTGAAGATGACTATTGATCAAAACACTTTCTTAGAAACTCCCACATGAATAGCTATATGTAGAAACAAAAAAAATCACACAGTCAAATTCTGTATTGACATCACTTGATAAAACAAAATCTGTCTCAGGGCCCCTTCCAAAGTATATCTCCTGTTTTATTCCATTTTGTCTTTTTGATAAAAAGTGAATGAGTCACGGTTTTAAGGAACCTGAAGGGCAGACACTCTCCCAAAGTATTTAGGAAGTGCTGCACTTCCCAAGTTGTGTCTAAGCTCTTAAGATACTTTTTAACGATCTCAGAAATTTGTTCTGGTAAAGTATGAATACTGCTTAAGAGAACTGCTCTAGAATCTCTCAATTTGATCAGTGTATTGGGTTTTTTCAGTGCTGATAGCTCAAGCAATGGTTTTCAAAATATAGGCTGCAACAGCATGAAATCTGATTAGACCTGTGCTGCTTTACTGCACTGATCTGATTCTCAGACTTCAATGACAAGCCAAAAAATAATTAAAAAAAAAATTAAATTTGATCGGGACATACAAAGTCTCACCAGTCCCCACTCATTGTCTTTACAGTACGTGAGTTAAAGCAGGTTGATGGCAATGACTCTATTTTTCCTATAATGGCTTTTTGGCTTTGAGATACTGTCTAGCAATTGAGACTATTTTGAAAATGTCTGCACCCCCACAACATCCACTGAATTGTGTAAATTTTCCATACTACCAACATCCTTAAAAATCACTACAGATTCATTTCCTAGGTAAAATCTCAAAATTCTCAACATCATTTTTGATCTTTTATAAAATTTCTCGATCTGTTCAGCTTTGACCTGTGCACATACATATTTTACAAATACAGTAGACAATACATTTTCAGGTTCTTGCTTATTCAACCATATTAGAGTTTAAAACACATCACCAGCATTTTAGCAACTCCCATATAAAACAGACTGGTCATAGCAAAGTCTCCAGTGGATTTCATGGTATATACGCTGCTGTTACGATATAATTTTTAATACCCTGCACTCTAAAACATGTAGTTTGTCACATTACTTATTTTAAGCTGTTCCTTAAAAGACTTAAAACTCTGCAAAAATATTAACATTGTTTTAAAAAATGTTTTGACCAAAGAGTTCAGTTATTTCCAAATGAAGATATTATCCTCTCATAACTATTGTGTATGAACACACCATACGCATACTATCCCTTCAGAGCAAATAAATATGTTTCAGTTCTTGCTTGTATGCACCCAGGATAGTCCTAAATGCACATACCTCATAGCCCAACAGCACAGCTGTTCTGGTGGAGCTGTAAGTTTAAGGCATTCCTCATGGTCTCTGTCAGTATGAGACGGTATGATGGAATTTCTGCAATAAGATATTATGTTTAAAAATGCTATTATGGTTGCAAATCCACATGCTATAACATGCGAAAGAAGAGAATTAAAGTTTACTTACATGCTCACACACTTTTTATGCCAGGAAACCTTCAGTTCCTTTACTGTAGAGGATAGATTGACTGCGGGAATGAATGAGGAGTTGGAGGATAAGGGAGACTCTTTGTACCAGAACTTTGCTTCATTTAGCCCCAATAAAAGTTAGTTAGAACTATCTTTGCCTAATTAAAGTAGTAAGGAATGCTTATTACTCTAAAAACTCAGGTGCTTAAATTAGGCATTCAAAGTTTATGGAGTTGAGAAGCTCCAGAGAACTGGGTGGGAAAAAACCAGTAAATTAATCAGTGACAGTTACCTTCCATGTTTTGGTAACCTACATCAACTATGTGGGCATAGGTACAATAAAAACATATGTGTTCAATTCAGTACATCTGCTATCCTCCAAATAAACTGCAAGGGAAGGGAAAGCTTTTAAATCCTGTTACTAATGGGAATTGCCGTAATATCCTCATGATTATGAGGAAATGCTTTGAGATTACAGACGAAAACGAGAAGGCATCATAACTGAGTAAGTGAAAAAAACAGCTTCAGGCTACGTCCAGCTTCTAGACAGTTTTTACATGGGAAGTAACACCCATTTGTTCCATTTCCTACAAACACATCCACCTCTACAAGGAAAGAACACCAAGCAAGACCCAGACCCTCACAGCAGTTTCTCTTACCAGAAGTTCACCTTCTTTTTCTGTACTAAGTGCACCTGCATTCCAGAGAACTCAAGGGAAATAACACCTTCCAGCAGAGACTAAGATTTTAGTCCCTGGAGCCAGACACATGCAGAGTCCTTCAGGTACACCAGTAGAAGACTTCTTTTTTAGAAATGGGCCTGATAAAGAACTTGCTCTGCAACAGTCTGTCTTATAAAACACAATGATAAATCAAATCAGGGAAACTTAGATGAGGAGCAACTCACAGATAACAGTCCAGCACTTGTGGAGAACCCAGGCCCCTGATCCTGAGCAGCCAGAGGTGTCTGCTGCAAGCCCCAACACAGCACAGGCTCCCCTTGAAGAAAGTCTTCAAGTTGACCATGAAGAATCTATCCGGAAAGCTCATCAACCAAAGAACAACATTCAGACTATGGAGAGAAAGACCTCATGCAGAATTTAGATTCAACAGTGATTCTTAACATTGGAAAATTTTGTGTGACATAACACTTGTAGTAGGGAGTTAAAATGGAAAAAATAAGAGGAATTGAGCTTGTTCAATATCAGATAACTTTATATTATTTGTAACCTTAAAAGATTTATTTACAACAAACATACAAAAGTATACCCCCTGGAGGTCTCAAAAGCTTCAGAACATTACTATTTTCATCCCCATTTTCAAACATGGATGGGTCTATGCTGCAAGGGTTAAAATTTTATGCTTCAACTATGGTACTATGGTACAAATCATTCCCAGCTAGATATTCAATGTACAATAGCCTACATTATACAGTAGCACAAATAATACTCTACCTTTTAATGTGTTTACAACATACACAATTTTCTGCTCTTTCTAAGTTTTCTGCATAATAACATAATTTTTCAATAGTGTGCAGAAGTTTCTGAATTTCCTTTTTCCTTAAATGCTCTGATTACATCTAGAAAAAGTAAAACAGTACTACATTTGCTAACAACTTGTTGATAGATTGATGTACATTAATAGAGCTCCTTCCTGATAAAAATACCAATGGCTGACACCCAATGACTTCTTTGTCATTGTGTGAATAAGTACATAGTTTTTCTTATTCAGACATACAGACAGCTGCAGGTCATGTTCTCACAGTAATTTCCTCTTTCTTCTTTTCCTTTTGTCAGAAGTCGTGCAAACTCCTTCCAAGTATGCTGATGGCCTTATGCAGTGGGGAATAGGAAGTCATGACATAAAAATCTAACAAGAATGAACATGTAAAAACTAAGTGTTTTATGAAAAGATAAAAAAAAAGAGAAATTCACCCTTGGGGAGAAAGCTGCCACTATGCCAAGCACTTTTGCAGTACTGCAATGGCAAATGCCCTAACTTATTTTGGTGAGTTTGGGGAAACCCCACTGTGCAAAGCACTGAACCACTTTAAACACTACTGTTTGAAAAGGAAGATCTACTTCCCACAAGCGCCTAGTTTTCCATTTATACAAAATTGTTCGCAGACCCAAAGGAACTTTAAATATTTCCTTCTTCACTATCACATGCCTATACTTCCTTCTTGATTATCACATGCCTTACTTAGCTGCCTCTGGTTCCCTGTAAGTGTTCAGCACTTTTCTCCAAACAAACAGCAATAACCTAGAATGATAAAGACAATCTGCTGACAAAGGTAACTTGCGTTGTCATTCTATCCTTATGAGTCTGTACAATACCAAACCTTGGCTATTCTCTTATGCTAGAACAGTTGCAAGTGCTAGCATTTCAATTCACATCAGGTATATGAAACTTTTGAACCTTTCTTGCAGATGTGCCTCTTTAAGTACCTGGGCTCTCCTCCTTCAATTTCCTTGCAGTTATCAGTAAGTTAAGAGTTATTTTGAAACTCTTCTTGCTGGTAACTAATTTTGTTCTTATTTTCAGGATTTCAGTTTTATTATCTTTCTCCTTAATTATGAACTCATTTGCAGCTTTATAAACTAGTTTCAGCATATTCAGTTTCCCTTTGCATATTTATTTTATTTTGTCAATTCTGCACAGGGTAACTTCAAAAACCTGCTGTTCTTTTATTTAAAGATGCTCTTCTACACTGGCAGTTTTCACATTTTTTAATCACCAAAACTGCTCTTGGGTCTTTTTTCCAGTCCTGTCAAGATCACAGGCTAAATGTTCTCGATGCTTTTATTCTATGCTTTACCAAAAGTCAATTTCTAACATTTTGAATTACAGCGAATCTCTTACTCAGTATGCTGAATATCTCTCTTACTCCTTCGTAAAGATTTCTTCACTTGTGCCTGAAAAAAATTAGCAAGACAATTAATGGTTCAAGCAGCTATTGATTGTAGCCTGCAATTGCTCTAATAGCTAGAACTAGCAGAACCGCAAGATATTTTTTAGCATAGTATTTGCAGGCATTTAACCTGTTTACATTTCTTATAACTTCCAATACTAGCTAAATTCTCATACTTCTTGCTTCCAAATTCTTCCCAAATCTAGCCCCCATATCACTCGCTAGTATTGCGTAAACATACTATTGTTCTTTTCCCACCTAGTTCCTGCTCAGTCATTTCAGCTAGTTTATTTATACTCAAATAGTAGAATTAAACTGATTAAGATTTCCTACTATTCTTTCTTTCAGCTATCTTGCTGGAGATGCCCCACCCACTTTGAAATTTGGAAAAAAAAATTCTGAGATATCATAACTGAAACCTTCTACAGAAGAACAGAAAAGAAAAAAAAAGAAAATATGCATTAAAATTCCTTTTATTTGTGAAATGAAACAAAAGAGGATTTTAAAACATTCTCTTAATATTCTTCACATTATTTTCAGTGTAGGCTTTCAATACACTGTAGATTCTCAAAACTGAAAAAGATAATATTTAGATATTACTCTGCAGATAATTATTTTTCACTATTAGTTCTCCAAAATACTAAAACATATACATAACATCAGTGAAGGCATTACTTCCAGTTAATTATGTAACTGAAGTCTCACATATGCTTAACAGTTTTGCTTAAAGGGCCCTTACTTTCATTCAATAAGAAGTGTAAATGAAGGTGTAAAAATGCTAGACGATACTCCCCTTAGTTGGTTGAGCGTTAACCAATGAACTCAGAGGCACATAGGCTTTGTGTAAGAAAACTTTAATGAACTTTTACTATGGCAATCACATCTTAATAGCTTTGAACACATGTTTTGTACATATGTACTAAGAGCTGACAGCTGTTTAATGAGGGTTTGAAAGCTGTGGAAATACCCTTGTAAAAGAGAGGAAATGGAAATCCCCCCACATCCCATTATTTCTTAAAAAAATTATTTCTATAAAATTAATATCAGAGTCATGGATGACGTTAAATGTTTAGGAATATAGGAAAATCTTTCTGCATTCCCGATATTTTGTGGAGATCCACAGGGGCCTGTGTTGTTCCAAAAATCTCCTGCTCGTAACTATTCTTCCCCAGTAAAAACCTCATCTCTGTTAGTTACATATCGGTTGCTTTATGTTTTTTTGGAATCACTCTCGTATTTCACAAGACTGGACTAGAACAGAAAGAAAAGGAACATACATGGTCAAACTAACGCCTGCTTCACCCAAATGCTGCAGACAGCTGAGCAGACACACGGAGGCAAGGCTCTTTTCTCTGGCTTGTTCCACTGGTTATGAATGTTCTTGTCATTTTTTCCTTTAGACCTCACCTGCGATGGAGCAAGTTGCTTTTAGACATTCCTACTTATAATCCAAATATTGTAGTTTAGAGCCACATTTAGAGCTTACACTCAGAGAGAAAGCAGAGAAAGAAGAGAAGTAAAAAAGAGTGATGCACAAGTGAGAGGCAAGCAGGAATCTCTGTCCGTCCCCCATGCAGTGGGCCCTGGAAGGGAGGGCTGCTGCTCCCGGGAAGGTGTCTTCTGGGTGGGAAGCAATTGTGGAAGCTGCAGCCAATTTCAAAGCTATAAAGGAAAGAGATGCTTGGGCAGTCAGACTGGAATCACTTGCATACAAACTATTACTAGAGCCAGCACAACTGTGTGCCAACAGGAGATGAAAAGGAAGATGTGTTGCTCTCCACAAGCTGTCTCTTTATCTGCAAATGCAGTAGCAGGCCAGAGGTTTTCATCCTAAACTGGGGCAAGCAGAAAAACAGCCTGAAAGACCATTGAAAACCTCAGCTCTTACTCTGCTCTCCAGCCTGCCTTCTTCAGCAGGTGGCCTGGAAAACATATTGTAGCTGAATTACTGCAACTAAGTTAGGATATCTCTAGAAATACTGGGGCAGGGGTAGGAATTTTTCATGTAATTTGCAATGGAATATTGCAGCAAATATTTACAGAGTATTGAAGTAAAAAAGCATAAACAATCTGTCACCTTCCAAGAATGTTAAACAAATTAATTTACCAGATGTAGTTTTTTAAGCAGAAGTATTGCAGTATAAATGTATTTATAATAATTATCTGAGATTCTAATCTGCTCTTCAAATCAGGATGGTACAAAATGCAATGTCAATGATAAAATTATTCAACATCCCATTATAATGTTGCACGCTCAGAAGCTATTTTCCTTGTAATAAATAATTGAGCATTAATTCAGAGCAATTAACACTTTTAAGAAACATTAATATTTTCATGTGCTGTCTGCGTCTTCTGCTAGAAGACTCACGATGCCCTAAGCCCATTTCGTAGGCCCTGTTTGGGCTTCCTGTGAAGAACCACCAGACAAAATTTAATTATGCTGTTACTTTTAGTATTTTACAAATACATTACAGTTTTCCCTTGAGATATACCATTTTGATGAACCATCTTATGGATGAATTCATCCAAGGACAGTGAAGTAAAATAAGTGGTTTCAATGTATGCTAAGCAATTAAAAAAAAAAAAATTAGAACAATTATTTTTAAACATCCTCACAGATTTAAAGTACATTGAATTTATCAACTTGTGCTTCCTTAAGTTCACCTATGACACTAAATCCAAAAAATAGTCATGTTGGATTTCTTGCTGAGTGTGCTTATTTTAGGGCAGTTGCTGCAATCCAAAATTAGTACTTTATTTAACATCAGCACTTTCTTGAAAACAAATACAAAGTTGATGGTTATTTTTAAGAATTTGCTGCATCACACATTTGTAAAATACAAATAATGCAAGCAAAAATGAAGGAGATGTACCAGGAAACAGAAATCTGATAGAACAAGGAGATCTTCCTATCACCAATAACTAGAAATTGGACCTGCTATTGTTTACTTAAAACATAGGGAAAAGTCTGCTTCCTGTCACTATACATGTATTTTGCTCCATATACAACATGACCCTTGACTTAAAACAGACATGAGAGAACTTCTTGGCTTTCATTCAGTTAGCCACTATAGACCGAACCTGCAGAAGGTTCAGCCAACATCCACACTGCTTTAAAAGGATTTGACACATCATCAGAAAAAGAAGAAAATGTGAGTTTCCTTGAATTCTAGAGGGGAAAGTACTTGAATGGCAAAAAAAAAAAAAAAAAGCACAGAAACGCTGTTAGGTCAGACAGTACTCTGTGGACAGTCCTAAACTTACTTGGTCGCTGAGGTGGCACAAAGCAAAACTCACAGCTACAGAAGTACTCTATCAGCACTACAGTATTCTTTAGGGCTTTTGAAGGCTGAAACCTGCAGTCAGTTCTCAGAAGTCCAGAGCCATCCCCTAGAAGAAAAACCTATACAATTCCCATGAGGTTAAAAATAAATTAAAAAACAAAGACTGGTATTTAATAAAGGAGTGGTAATCCATGGTTAATAAAAGACAAGGCTCACGATCTGCCATGTCTTAATGTAAACTGAAAAACAATACTACTTACTGGATGATGCTCATTTTCCTGGGTAACCTATGGCAGCTGTGTTTTCAATGCAAACGAAGGGGGCGGGGG